TCTCACCCTGTTCGTTCCATTCTAGGCCATGTGTCCCAATGTGGAGTTCTTCTGCTGATCTTCTCGGTCCTATCCTGGCATTAAAATCACCAACAATGATCTTGTTGAAGGTGTGGTCTTCTTTCTAGAACTTCTCCAGCTCCATGTAGAACTTCTCAATTTCTCCTTCATCATAATTGGATGTTGGTGCATAGACAACGAAGATAGAAACTGCCAGCAGTGAGCCACATCTATTCAAGTGCAATCATCTGACTCGGGTTGTTAGGCATTCGAATGAATCAATGCTCATGGCCAAGTTCATGTTAATAAGGACACCGACACCACTGATGCCTTTTTTGTCGCATGTTCCAAAGAACAGTTCTTCTCCAGTGCCAAAAACTGCGTGATGTTATTAATGCCTTCTTGTCTTGGTCAGACCAATGTACTTGATCTTTTGTGCTTGTACATCAGGTCCTTGATGCCATCTGATGCCAGCGTATGTGCATTCAAAGTACAGACAATCATTTTTGTCTGTCTTTGTTTTGGCAGCATAGTTCAGCCTTGATATTTTATTAGCCTCTCCTTCCACATTCTCAATGCTGCCGTATTGGTGGCTCCTTCAGGGTCAGGGGAATGAGACCCATTGTATTTACTGATTTTGGCATATCGAATTCATCACGGAAGCTTGCCAGGCTCTTCCGTGCAGGCGAGATACTCTTGGTAGCTTGCCAGGCTCTCTGAGAGGGATAGAGACCTTTGGGGCGGCCTCTAATCACCCCTGTTATTTTCCCATGGTTCAAACCATATTTGAACCCTATCTTTAATCATAATCTTATTTTTCTTTTTCAAATATTAATGAGAGTAAATATTTTAAGTAACTTTTTGTTTTGCTTTGCATGAGTTGGGGGACACACTTGGATGTGCTCAGGGTATTTGTTTTGGTTTGGTTTTGGTTTTTGGGCACTTAAAAACAGTGCTAATTTTCCCAGCCTCAGAAGAAGCAAAGAATATCATTCCTGGTTAATGTCTCCCGTGCTTCTCAATCTTCAGTGTATATATCCAAATCACCTGGAAGCTAGGTTAATATACAAATTCTGATTCAGTGCATTCGGGGGGTCACAATTCTTCAGTTACAATACTTCCAGAAAAAGCTAGAAGAACTAACTTGGAGTAACAGTTAACTTCAAAAGACTTTCCCCTCCTTCTCATATCCTTTCTCTTTAACCCCACCCTTCATTCTACTGTTGATTCACTCAAGGCAAGCACCTCTCAGGAAGAGCAGCATCTTATCCTGCTAGAGTTGATTCATTCAGGATGGGAACCTACTCAGAATGAGTTTAACTGAGATGATCTCTAGCACTTTTTGAGCCAGAAATAGGGAAGATAATATATCTATGAAACAAAGTTGTGTGTTGTGCAATTCAGGAATATTCTTTAACCAATTATTTCCTTCTGAAAGAAGAAATTGGCAATGGGATGATGAGTTTAAGATAAAGGGGGATGTGAGTCTAGGTTCATATACCCTGAAACAGAGCCTGAACTCTAAGACAAATCTCACCATGGCAGTGCTATGTGAGATATGCCCATTATTCTCCCAGACACAAATATGTGTGTATTAACTATTTTCAGGTGGTTTTCTGTCACATGCCACCAAAGACTAGTAGTACCCCCAACCTCAAACACTCATAAAATTCTTTTTAAGAAATTTATTCATTTACCTTAAATCTCTATTTCCAGCTGAATAAATCAGTCACTGTAAATTTTATATAATAAATATATTACCAACTATCTGTTGTTCTGATTCTTGCACCATCTAGCATCTGAGACAGTCTTTTCTTTTTGACTTTGGTTGATTTAATTTTTGAGAACTATGAAGGAGGCCAGGACCACTAGCATCTGTTTTTCCAAAAGCCTGCTGTTTTGTTAGGAAGACAACATGTAATTAAGCATAAAGTGAAGAGGTGTCATTTAATTAAAGAAGCATGCAGGAGAAATGGCACCTTGCCTACATAAATCTTGAAAGACAAATAAATAGGGAAAAAGGAAATTCTAGTAAGGAAGAGCAAATGCCAAATGGTTGAGGTGAAATCAAGAGGATGAGGAGTAGAAAAGCAATTAAAAATAGCGAGTGTTATATGAATGAAGGCCGTGAGTAAAATACCAAAAATATTGAATAGTCTCTGTAGTGTGAGATGATATCTCATTGTTGTTTAGATCTGCATCTCCCTGATGATTAGTGAGGAAGAGCATTTTTTTCATGTGCCTTTTGGTTATTTGTATTCTTTGAAAAGTTTCTGTTCATTTCATTGCCCCATTTTCTGATGGGGTTGGATGTTTCCTACTTGTAGAGTTCAACCAGTGCCTTGCATACCCTTGATATCAACCCCTTATCAGATGGGTATTGGGTGAATATCCATTCGAATTCTGTAGATTGTCTTTGTATTTTGGTCGTTGTATCTTTTGAGGTACAGAAGCTTCTTAGTTTAAGATAGCCCTGTTCGTTTATCTCTGTTTCCACTTGCTTGCTCAGTGGAGTGTCATCTTTGAAGATACCTTTAGCTTTGATATCATGTAGTTTTACCGACCTTGTCTTCAATGTACTTAATGGGATCCTGTCATTCTATTCAGAGGAAGATTTGCAACCCATTCTTTCTTTCCTTCAACAAGTATACAACACATTTAAGAAAAGATCACTCTCAGAAGAAGCATATCAAGGCATATTTGTTAGTCCAACTAACAAATGTGTTTATGTTCATATCAAGGCATATTCGTTAGTCCAACTTCATCAGTGACACATTGTATTGATCTGCCTGACTTTTTGCCAATTTTCAAACCAGCTCTAAACTTAGAAAATAGCATTTCTCTTTTGTTTTGGGGTTACTGTACTCAGGGTTCACATTTAACTCTATGCTCAGGAATCATTCCTGGGAGTGCCCGTGGGAACATCTGCAGTGTTGGGGATTGAAACCGGGTAGATACATGCAAGGCAAGTGGCTTAAGTACTGAACTGTCTCCAGGACACAGGTTGGCTGTTTAATGCAAGGGCCAGAGGATTGACATTGCTCAGGTGTTGGCTTGGAGGAACTAACCAAGCAATAACAGCAATATCACTTTGGTGACCTCCAAAGCTGTGTCCTGCTATGATCAAGCACCATGCAGTGCCAGCAGTTGAACTCAGTTGACTGTCCACTAAGAGCGCACATTAACGGCTGTACTACTGGCCCTTTTCTCTTTTAAATTCTTTGTGCTTTAGTTTTGATAGCCAGGAGTTCTCAGCGGTTACTCTTGGCTCTGTGCTCAGAGATCACTGCAGGAGGGTATCAGGGGACTATATGGGATGCCCAATGTAGTCTAGGTTGTCTGTGTGCAAGGAAAGTATCTTGCTCACCGTAATATTTCTCCTCCCTTTGTTTTTTTAAAAGAATATAAGTATCATTCCTTCTAGAAAACCCAGGGGGAAATCATCCTCTGTTTTCCTGAATCATCATCATAATACAAACTATTTTCCCATAAGGAAGCAAACTGGCTATTACTCTTAGCATTTGATCCACTTATGACTAAAAATCCAATGTCAAGAGACACCTCTGCCATATGGTAATCAAAAGACTGACTCTATCTGTGAATAATTCAGTGTTTTTCTGTTAAATTTACAGAGATGTTAAGAAATGTGAGATAGAATGTTAGCAGGAAAATATTATATAAAATTTATATTCCATTCCTCTTTACTTAGACCGATAGCACAGCGGGTAGGGCGTTCGCCTTACAAGCGGCCAACATGGCCGACCTGAGTTCGATTCCTCCGCCCCTCTCGGAGAGCCCGGCAAGCTACCGAGAGTATTCAATATGCCAGACACAGTAACAACAAAGTCTCCATTGGAGACGTTACTGGGCCCGCTCGAGCAAATCGACGATCAACGGGAGGGCCTTTACCTTTACCTTTATCCTCTTTACTTAGCTATATCTGTCCCTCTGTAATGTAAAGAACTTTACCTCTAGTAATAAATTTAACATAGAAATTTCAAAACTGTTTTGGCTATTGTTTTTGTAAAACTGCTATTGATACAAATGTATATGAAACAAAATGTTGGAGACATAAGGAAGTAAGGTAAAGAATTTAAATAACTTACTATAAATGAAGGTTCTTCCAGGAGACAACTCATGCATAGTGTAGATTAGGGCCCATTGTCTAATGGAATAATCAAAATTAATTTCTAAGGGTAGTAAAGATTTATAATAAAACTTTCACTCACATTATATAATTCCCAAATTGGAAACCAATCAAAATACATATGTGTGTTCATTAATGAGAAATTTTTCAGCTAAACTCAATATTTTCTATGAAACTGTACTCTTTCTTCATGCATGCTCACACCAACTGTAGATTTATTGCCATGTCCCTATTCTACAATATTCTTAACATATTCAAAATTAGCTAATTTGAACTTGGTATGTATTTTCTTAATTTGAAAAAATATTCTCTTCATACACACACTCAAATATCTTTTACAGATAGAGATGGATCTGAGGAACAGAAGGAACTCTCCAATGGACCACCATTACACGTTAATAAATAATTTAAAAGATAATTAAATGACATTGTAAAACTGATGACATTAGCATTACTGTTTCTATTCATTCCATTATAAAAAATTACTTTTCATATTTCCTGGACAGAATTTACAAAACAGATACCTTTATTTAGGAAATCAACCCAAATTAGAAAGTTGAAAAAAATCTTCCTAAATAAGAAGCATGTAATAATTTTATTTAAAAAGACCTTATTTCCTGCCTCTGAACACAGTACTTTACTGTATTTCCTTACTTTATACAGTAATACTCAGAATACAATGAAACAGGTGTCTAAAGTACAATATTTCCTCATATCTGTCATGTTGAACTTTGTATGATCCTATGGACCTATTATCACCTGGTAATACTTAGCAATATATATAAATGAATGAAATAAGGTGAAAGAGAAGGTGGTTCTTCTCTCGAAAGAGAGGAGAGAGGAGACAGAAAGGATGGGAAGACTCAGGAGTTTTGTCTTCCTCTCTGTTCTATACCTGCTTCAGGATTGCAATTCCTGAACAACTGAAAGGCAATGGCTATGAAGGTATTATCATTGCTATAAACCCTGATGTGCCAGAAAATGAAGCTCTAATTACAGAAATACAGGTAAGAATTCTGCTTGAATTAAGAATAAGAAAACATGTTAGTGATTATTATTAGAAAGACTTTTGAACTCTCAAAGAAACTTAAAAGCAGCATGATGCAGTGAAAATGATGCTATAGTGGGCCATGAGAATTGGAGGAGCAAGAAGGGTTCTGTTTTGTCTCACTAAAGATCAAACAAATGTGAGGTGTATCTCTTCCTGAGCCTCGGTTTCTTATCTATAACCTCAGCAGTTGGAATTGCTGTTTCTAAAAAAATACCAAAGGAATTCTTGATAGTCAGGGGGACACTAGGGAATTTTTTAAGTGATGGCTATTGGGCAATGCATTTTATTCTCAGGTTATAGATAATAATATATAACAAAAAGCAAGGCAGATGTTAGAAAACTGCTATGAAGAAAAATAAATCAGCAAAAGGGAATGGAAAATGTTGGCATTTCTTGTGAAAGGAGAGAATATGGTTACATTTCATATTTGATAGCAAGGGAAAGCTTCACTTTGGAGATAGTATCTGAAACTGAGAGCTGAGAGACATGAAAGAAGACCCCACTTAAAACCAGGAAGAGGGAACAGAGACTTGGAGGTAAGAGCTGGATTGGTATGACCTGCGAAACAACTGAGAATGAGCAGGTGAAAGGGTGGGGAAAGAAGAGATATTGAGGCTGCAACACTCAGGTCACTAGAACAACTCTGAGTGTAATGGGAATCCATGAAAGGGATGGGTGTGAGCAGAGAAGGGGTGTTCTCTCTCCTGCATGTACAGAAGCTATTGCCTCTAACATGAACAAAACTCTGAGGATGAGGGTGCTTCCACATGTCACACTTTCTGTGACCACAGAGCTGGAGCAGGACAGGGGGTAGGAGGCTGTTACAATTGAGAAGTGATATTGACTTAGTGTCAGTATATTATAGGAGAGAGAACTCAAGTGACATGATCTGAACATATTCTGAGGATATCATGGACAATTTTTCAGATGATTTTAATATATATGTGCTGGGGAGAATATGACAAAGATATGAGTTAAGAATTTAAGTAACTTGGCCTGCTCATTTGGAGAAGATGGAATTATCATCAATTGAATTATCCTCAACTAGCAGTGTTATTGAATCAAATTTTTATACTGGATTAATTCTTAATTATGTCTTGAGATGTCAACTGTCCATTTTCCTTATTTCTTTTATTTTTATGTGTCTGGGTTTGAGGGTGCTTGTTTTCAGAAGTGTCAATATCTTCATCTCGATCCAGTTCAGTCATTATAGGAATTTTGAGAATAAATTTAATAAGAAGAAAATAGGCCTTGTATCACTTTGCCGAAATTTATTTATTTGGCTGACCTTATAACCATTTCTATACTGAAGAGATTAAGCTTTAATACTGAGGAATAAGTGATATAAGTTCTGTCTTGAGGAAAGTGATATTTTAGCACTACTTTTCAGTTTTGACATATAAAATCTATCCCAAGGTACAAGAGTCATAGCCTCAACTGGAGATGAATGTTTTCAGGAACTTTTATTTATAACCAGTACTATTTGTACTCAGCCATACTTACACCAAGTACTACTTATACCCAATACTATGAGTGTATGTATAGGTGTTTGTAGACATACGTGAATAGGCACATCTATACTACACATATTGGTTGATACTTGGGGTTCCACTAAGGATTGGCTAACTGGAAGAACAGGGTAGATCTTTCATAACTACTTGTGTTTTAATCTATGAACAGTTAGCTGTTCTGTGTGAATATTGACAAGAGTTTGATGCACAAGGTGTTTGATAAACTGAGAATATTAGCTTTTTAAATGTATACTGGGAAAACAGCTCACATTTTTTATTAAGATTGTCAAGGCTGGTTAAATTTAAATCATATATCCAGTGATTACTTAACAAAACTATTAAAACTTCTGGCTTGGGAGGATATATATAGTTTATTGCTAAATTTGATCAAATTTATCCTGTTTAGCTGTTCTAAATTTTTATATGGCCCAGTAAACACCACTTCACATTGTAAATCAATTTTCAAATGTTTAATACTTGCATTCTGTATTACCTAATTTGATATTTTAAATTCCATTCTAAGGAACTGAAAATATATTGTAGTGGGTAGGTCAATTGCCTTGCATGAAACCAACTTAAATTTGATCACTGGTATCCCATCTCATCCCCAAGCACCACCAGCAGGAGTAATCTCTGTGTGCAGAGCAAAGAGTATGCCCTAAGCATTGATGGGTGTGACCCAAAAAACCTAAGTATAAAATAAAATTTCATTTTACGTATCTTGAAATTAAAAAATGAAGAAATGTAATTGTTCTATGCTTAGAAATGTATTAAAGCAAAGTTGTAAATAAAATCAACTAAATCCATAGAGAAAGGAGGGGAGAAAGAGAGAGAGAGCTTAAAAAAAAGAGAGAAAAATGAAACTCTAGAAATTTAGCCTGAAAAGTTCCTGGGAACCATTATTGGTCACCATATTGTACCTTAAGAGGTCACAGTAGTTCTTTCACAGAGAATTTCTTTGAAATTTTTCCATTGCCAAGTTGTATGAAGCTATTAAAAGTACAAAGTAAACAGAAAGGGTCAGAGTTGTATAATATGCTTCCCATGCAAATGCATTATAGCAAGTCTCTTCTAGAGAGTGAGATTATAATGAACATAATCTCTCATATGGCATATTCCCTTAGGCTACATTTACATTAGCTAATCTGTTCCTTTTAATGTCTTTTGTGATCCTAAAATTAAGAGTAGTGATATCAACCAGTTTTATGATTGTATACATTTAGAGTACTTTATAAATTTTTCCACATTTATATATTTTTGTATTGTTTTGGTAAAATGGTTACAATAGAATTATCTTGAGAGGTTTTAATGAACAAAGTTACTGCAATACCCTCCACCAATGTCTCTGAATCACACCTGTACTTACCCATCCCTCCCCCCACTATCCCGCCCTCTTGATAACCTCAGTTTTGCATTTAGAGGTAAAAAAAGTAGATAAGTTTTTTTCATCCTTATAATGTCCTTAAATGTAAATAATAAGGGCTGAAATATAGCTCAGTGGTAGAATACTTGCCTTGTGATACTTTGGGTTCAATCCCTGGAACTATAAAGTAATCTAAGATATGAGAAGGGCTGGAGCAATAGCACAGCGGGTAAGGCATTTGCCTTGCATGCGGCTGACCTGGTCGACCCAGGTTCAATTCCTCCGCCCCTCTCAGAGAGCCCAGCAAGCTACCGAGAGTATCTTCCCCCCACAGCAAGGCCTGCCGAGCTACCCGTGATGTATTCGATATGACAAACATAGTAACAAGTGTCACAATAGAGACGTTACTGGGCCCGCTCGAGCAAATCAATGAACAACAGGAGGATAGTGACAGTGAAGATATGAGAAAATTGAGGTTCAGCATGACATAAATTGGCAAGATCTATCACCCAAGAAGTACTAATTCCAGTATGAGAACCAAGGAGATGATTCTAAATTCTTTGTCTTTAGCATATCATAAAATTTTTCTGAACATGAAACAGAAGCATTTGATAAAGGATTATGAGACATTGGAAGCTCTAGGAGGCAAGGGGAATGGAGGATGGGCTACAGCCAACAGTACTCAGGTGTTGCTGGAACTGTCCATGATATCATATGTGGTGAGGATCAAACCAGGGTTGACCATGCATAAGGCAAGCACCTAAAGTCATGTACTATCTCTCCATACCTACGGTAAAAACTATTAAGTGTGCAAGATCAAGAAATAAATTTTGTGTAGCAAAGTGTGGATGGCAGAGTAGCAATTCTGAGGCTGAGATTCTGATTTTTCTCACTGCTTTAAATTGGGAAATGTCTGTCATGAATCCCTGCTCCTTAAATTCATGTCATTTGACCATGCCATATTTTCCTCTTAATAATAGGACATGGTGACTGAAGCTTCTACTTACCTGTTTAAAGCCACAGAAAACAGAACATATTTTAAAAATGTAAATATATTGGGGGGAATGGGGGGGAGGGATATTATCCTTGGTGGTGGAAAATGGGCACTGGTGGAGGGATGGGTATTTGATCATGGTGTGACCGAAATCCAAGCACAAAAATTTGTAAGTCGACAACTGTACCTCATGGTGTTTCACTAATAAAAATTAAAAAAAAAGTAAATATATTAATTCCAGACACCTGGAAACAAAAACCTGAATATATGAGGCCAAGACATGAAAGCTACAAACATGTAAGGCTCAGTAAAACTCCTCTTATAAATGGTATTTTCTGAAAAAATATTTTCTGTTCTTCCTCAATTTTACTGAAAACTAATTATTTCAGAATAAACAAAATCATTTCCATTTCTAAGGTTTAATAAATAATTTTATATCAGGCTACTGTCATAGTTGCACCACCTGCATTGCCAGGTAGAGATGAACCCTACACCAGACACTTTTCACAGTGTGGAGAAGAAGGAGAATTCATTCATTTGACCCCTGACTTTCTACTTGGAAACAAGCAAAGTGAATATGGGCCACCAGGTAAGCGTTCCAGTTAATAAAATTGAGTAAAAAGCCAGCTATGTACAATGTTTAAATACTAACTCCTGATAAACAAACTGTGTGTCCTTAGAAAAGTGTGCTAGCCTCCCTGTACTTATTTCCTACGAGCGATAGCACAGCAGGTAGGGCGTTTGCCTTACAAGCGGCCAACATGGCCGACCCGAGTTCGATTCCTCCACCCCTCTAGGAGAGCCTGGCAAGCTACCGAGAGTATTCGATATACCAGACACTGTAACAACAAAGTCTCCAATGGAGACGTTACTGGGCCCGCTCGAGCAAATCGACGATCAACGGGAGGGCCTTTGCCTTTGCCTATCCTAAATAGAGGAATTCTGATTTTCAAAATTGTTAAGAATATCAGGTAACTCATGCAATTATATGCAGTATAGTATTTATGGAAAGTTGACCATAGAGCCGCAAATTATAAATGTATTTCTCTAGACATTCTTGGACTTGAATAATCAGTATTCTACAACTGGACTATAATCAATCATCTGCTGCCTCCATGAAAGGCAGCATGAGGATAGCTGAAATCTGCCATGATTCATATTTCTGCACAGGTGAAATGTTCAGGTACTATTAGTGGCTGATATTATTATTCATCTTGTTTGTTTGAATCAGATGAATTTTCCAAGTAAAAGATCCTTTTTAGCTCTAAAAAAAGGCAATTTCAGCTACTTCAACTTACAAGTTAAGATCACTAGTTCAAAAGAAGTAAAGCATATTATTTTTCTTATGAAAATGCACCTTGTTGTTTAAGAAGGCTTTAATCAATGTCACTATGTTTAAGAAAACTTTCCTGAGTCCATGTATCCATTTACACCTCTCCCTCTTCCACTGCCCCTTCAGTAGCTTTGATTAAATCCCTTGTATCTGTTGAATATTCATCTAGCCCTGGTCCTCAACTTTATTGGGAACTGTATTCCAACTGTCTTAAAATGTCCTTCCTCACATCCCAAGCTTTTTCTCCCCACTATACCTTATGCAACACCCTGTTTGTTCTCCTGTCACCTGTCTCCCTTTACACCTTTCTAGCTATCCATCTTTCCCACTTGGCATGTCTGGTAAAGTCAGTCATTTCAACTCTAAGTATAAAAATTCCAACTTCCTCACTACTGTTATCTTTCTTTGATTCAACTTGTCAATCCTTAGTACTAAATTCCAGTCAGTTTTCTTTGGCTCATTTAATATGCTTCCAAGATTTTTAAAAAATAACAAAACCATGACAACAAAACAATACAAAACACACATTTCAGTGATTAAGGAAGCCTCAACACTTCTCAAGAATACTTTTACATATTTCTTTTCAACCCTCTTTATCAATCTGCATTTCAGATTGCTCTCTTCTTATTCTTTTCATTCCCATTCATTAAAATATACCTTGACTGAAAAAACTCTCTACCAGTCCACCAAACACTTGAGTATCAAAAGCTAAAATCTTGACATATGATTTTTATGACATTATTCACCTTCCCCCTTCTATTTTCAGAGCTCAGCAATTACAGTAATACACTGCAACTAAACATATATCATTCCTAATTTTTTCCATTGCTACTTACTTTTGCTACTATTGATTAAAACACCACATTTTTTCTGTCTTTAAGCTATGAATTTACCTTTGTTCTTCCTTTACTCTGTAATAATCCTTAGGAACAGATTTTTATTCTGACTTCCTCTATCTAAACTTCTCCCTGAAGGAACATAAAGTAACAAAATAGGAGACTAATACCCAAGAATAGCCGAGGTAAGTTCCAGAAGGTTCACTCCATGGCTTGGAGGCCAGCCACACATGCTAGGGGAAAAGGCAGCTCAGATAGAGAAGAGAGCACCAAATAAAGGGTGTTAGGAGGATCCACCCAAGATGGGAGAAGGATGCTGAAAGTAGACTATAGACCAAACATGATTGCCACTCAATGCCTCTTTTGCAAACCACAGCACCCAAAAGGAGAGAGAGAACAAAAGGGAATGCCCTGCCACAGAGGCAGGGTGGGATGGGGGAATGGGGATGGGAGGGATACTGGGATCTGTGGTGGTGGAAAATGGGCACTGGTGGAGGGATGGTACTTGGTCATTGTATAATTGAAACCCAAGCACAAAAATTTGTAAGTCTACAACTGTACCTCATGGTGTGTCACTAATAAAAATTTTTAAAAAAGGAAAAAGAAAAGAATACTAACCAAAAATAAATAAATAAATAAAAATAGATTAGCTGAAAAAAATAAATAAACTTCTTCCTGTCACGAACTATATATTACTCAACTTTATATTCAAACATGGTGCTGAATATATACAATTAATAATTTTTATGTTACAAATGATTATATTTAAGAACAATAATTACTTCACTTAGATATTTATGAAATTATTATATATACAGTCTATAGCTATTTTTTCCATATTTTTTATTACAAACCCTTAGGAAACATATATAGACAGTTTTTAACATTTAATTTATACTGTCAGAAGTTTTAGTGTTACTGGTATATTGCATATCTGCCTATTTTCTTGGTTGGAGAGAGTTTTGTGGAACCAAAAATCATTTTAATATTTATGATATTTTTTTCTACAAGAACCAAACCACAAGCCCAGTCTCTATGCCCTTGTCACATATGAAACAAATATTTCATTGATTTAACATTTTAAATAAAATATAATATACTTAATAATAAAGGCTGGAGCAATAGGACAGCAGGTAGGGCATTTGCCCTGCATGCGGCCAACCTGGTCGACCAGAGTTCGATTCCTCTGCCCCTCTCAGAGAGCCTGGCAAGCTACCGAGAGTATCTCGCCCCCACGGCAAAGCCTGGCAAGCTACCCATGAGGTATTTGATATGCCAAACACAGTAGCAACAAGTCTCACAATGGACCGTTACTGAGCTCGCTCGAGCAAATTGATGAACAACGGGAGGTCAGTGACAGTGACAGTGACTTAATAATAAATCATTATGTATAATATAGCATAATATTTTTATTTAAAAATCTGCTTAGGTTATTTAAAACCAGAACATCGATATTTTCTTGAAAATTAAAAAATATTTGATGGACTACTTTTGCCACTTGAATTCTGATCTTCTATTTGGAATATTTTCTCACAGGTCAACTGCTTGTCCATGAATGGGCTCACCTCCGCTGGGGAGTGTTTGATGTTTGATGAGTATAATGATGATGAGCCTTTCTATGCTGCTTCAAACAAGAAAATTGAAGCAACAAGGTATGACCATTTACATTTTTTAACTGTCTTTAGGTTGTTCCTTCTTTTTAAAATTTTCTTTTAAATGGTAATTATTTTCATTTAACAATAGATCATATAGGCTGTTCACCAAAGCTGGTTTTATTTTTGTAAATGTATCTTAAAATAGCTGGTGGGCCATTTAAGTTACACATAAATTCAAGAATGCTTGTAGTTTGTCAATATAGCTGGCAGAACTCATTTGTGCTGAAACTGTGCTCTGTGGAATATGTTGTACTATATGTTAGGAGACCAAAATGGAATTACAAAAGAATGAATAAGAAGTACTAGCAAGTAATGGTGACTGTGGGCTCAGTAAAAGATCAACAGCTTTAAATGCCAAATGGAAATTTTTTTTTATTTATCATTTTTTAAGAATTTATCTGTCCTCTCGTTGTTCATCAATTTGCTCGGAGCGGGTTCGGTAACATCTCTATTTTGAGACTTCTTGTTATTGTGTTTGGCATATAGACTATGTCACGGGTAGCTTGCCAGCTTTGCCATGCGGGCAAGATACTCTCGGTAGCTTGCAGGTCTCTCCGAGAGGGGCAGAGGAATCAAACCCAGCTCGGCTGGGCTGGCTGCGTGCAAGGCAAACGCCCTACCGCTGTGCTATCTGGCTGCAACATCTATCACCCCATTGATCACCAGGGTTGATTCGGCTGATCTGGCTGGCTGGGAGGGTGTTCCCTTCCTCCCTCACCATTCCATGTGCGTCCCTCCCGAAGCTGCGTGCTGAGTCGAAGAGGATGGCCTTCCCCTAATAGAGACGAACCGGTCTTTGGTCGAGGGTATAGGAGTAGCTGCGCTCCCCTGCTAGAACCTCCAAACAGAACTTACCTACACATTGCAAATTTAGGAGTAGGAGAGTACAGTGTTGAGATAGACCGACGTTCAATTCCCAGTCACATATATTCCCTAAGCATCTCTAGATACAGCCCTGGAGGCACCCAGCACCAGCCTGTAGGCCCAGGTACTTCCAGCACTACAGGACCCAAGCAACATTGCAGCCACAGATCCAGGCCACTGAACTGTTGGCCTAGGGTCCAGGGGCTTCTGAGCAATGCCTAGGACACCCTGGCCCCAACAACAACAGAAACAGATAAATATTACAAATTATTTTGAAATAACCTCATTTAAGATGCTAGCTGTCCTTTTGAAGGTTTTTGTTATTATTGTTGTTGTTGTTGTTGTTGTTTGCATTTTGGATCACACCCAGCGATACTCAGAGGTTACTCCTGGCTCTGCACTCAGGAATTACTCCTGGCTCTGCCGTGCAGGGTGGTTGGGGGATCATATGGGATGCTGGGGATTGAACTCGGGTCAGCTACGTGCAAGAAAAATGCCCTACCACTATACTTTCACTCTGCCCACCCTTATGAAACATTTTAGACAGTAAACATTTAATGTTTAATACATTAGTACTGTACAGTAATTTTTTAAAAAGTATCTGAAATATAAAAAAATTAAAAATTAAAAATACTTATCTTACATCACAGTTAATAAAGCACACCCCTCATGGTTCTAAAAGCAAGAGAGGCAAATTAGGAAAAGAAATCCAAGTATAGGTGCTATCAATTTAATTAATTTCAAATGCACTGCTAGGGTTTTGGACTTTGGATAAAAAATAGACAAACAAAAGAGAGGAGTATAATGAAGACTTCACTGACCTGAAAGCACTTGTTCTAGGACACATTAAAATAATTTTATATGTTTATACCATGTTTTCACAAAATTTCTAATATCTGCTAAAGAAAATTTACCTTGGCTAATAAATATGTATAGTATCATCATGCCTCAGTGGAGCAATGGAAGTACATATGACTGGAGTAAACTAACTCCCTAAGTGACTAAATAACATCAAGTTATTTCTTCTTCTCGGTGGAGAAGAGGGGAAGCCTTACAAGTGGTACTTAGACCACCTCCTGGTAATCGTGACTACATCTGTGATTCTCAGTCAACTAACCCTGTGGTTCAATGCACCATTTTCTATCTGAAGTGATTAAGGGACCATGTGGCACCAAGAATAGAATCTTGGAAAGGCTAGCATGCACCCTTACCACTGTAATATCTCCCTGCTTAAGTAATTGCTTCTTGTATTGCTGGTTTGAACTGGAACAACATTGGAAATATGGGATATATTTACAATCCCAGCTTATTTATTTTAACCACTGGCCAATTTCATGCATTAATACCTTTATCAAAATGCCTCCCCATAGCAGTTCCCGTTCTTTTGGGAATATCATCTTTGAAATCTACAAAGAACTTGAAGCTATAGTTATTCCAAGAATAAACGTTTTCATGATAGTTTAGATACCTGCAATGCATTTACTACTGCAAAGCTACTAGAAATATGTTGCAAAAGGGAACCTGCAGCCCTTAATCTAAGGGCACATGCCAGGTCTTCCTGGTCAGCAGCAGCTTTCATGCCAGCAGCACACTAAACTTTTGCATATTCTGGGGATACCATTTAAAGGTTTCCTCTGGTGGAATCTGAGGAAGAGTACACAGGGAACTGGTTCAATTTCCAGCACCACATGTTTCCCTTGAGTAGCACCAGGGATAATCCCTGAGCACAGAGACAAGAAGACCCCCTGAGCACTACTCTGTGTAACCCTAATGTGCCCACAAATAAATAAATCAATTAAAATTTCAGCCTCAGATTTCTGAAAAAAGTAACTTCCCCTATAGAGACACTTAAACTTTACTGTCAAAAAGAATGAGTTGATATACAAATCTGAATTAAACCTGATGGAGGATCTTGGCACTGTAGTGGTGGTGGCGGACCAATAACCTTGTATATCATAAGCATGAGAATCAACTCTGAAACCTGTCACAAAACTACACAACTTCTAAAACATGGCAGTCCACCATGCTGAAAGGTGATGAGATTTCAAATGGCCCCAACCAGGTTTTTAAAAGGAGGCTAAAACCTATTCTAACACACAGTCCTTTTGAGGGGCTCACGGAAATTAACACTGACCACAGGGACCCCCAGGATCACAGACCTGATCATTACAAAACAGAAGGTGGGAAAGAATATTCATTACCTGCCTGTTCCACAACAAATGCCAATGAAAGACTCAAAAAGAATCTCTTCTCTCGATTCCTAAATTTTGAAATAATTTGGAAAGACAACAAATGGCCCCTTCTCTCATCAGAAAAAGACCCAGACTCCCAGGCAGGCTGAGGAATATGAGATGTAGCCACACCTGATACATACTTTGTAACTAAGCCTAGTCCTTCTAAAACACCAATCAAGTTTCCACAAAAACTTCAGAATCAGTTACTTGGGCTTTCAACATGAACACTGAGACAAATCTGAAGTCAATTATAGATTACATTGTGAGTAAGAACCAAGTTAAAGTTGTCAGTAATTAAAGTTCTACCAGCACTGCAAAGTCAAAATCGTGTCTTTTATGTAACCATAAAAATAACCACATACATAATTCAGAGTTGATTCCCACATGCTATTGCTGAAAAAGGATTTCAGATGAACAAAATATCCGAGGTATCTTCTAAACAGTTACAGTGACTGCCACGGAGTGTGACATGGAGTCTGAGGAGAGTGGAGTTTTTTTTTAATTTTTTTGACAATTTGTGTTCTATTGCTGGTTATGAATAATGTATGATGTCACGTGGTTGCAGTAGGGCCATGTGATTTTGAAATTCCGAAATTTTAACACTTAAATCTGGAGGGATTTCTGCCAAAAGCCCCTGGGTTTCGAGATTTGTTTCTGAGTCTCTGGGATCATGGCCGTTGAGCAGCTTGATCAGGAGCCAGAGAGGCCATTCGTGGGCGATAACTTGGGGTCTCGTTGGGGTGGGGAGGACAGGCCCGGCTCCCCTCACCCCATCCCGTGAGGCCCAAGATGTCTCGTCACTGGGGGCCCAAACCTGACTGTCCTGTGGCCTCTGAAGGATGGCAGCCACCGAACCACCAAGGGGAACAGGCCAAGGCACGAAACCTATTCCACCTGGGTTGACCCAGCACCAGTAACCTACTGCAGGGACCGGACGCATTTCTGCCAAAAGCCACTCTTTTTTCAAGATTTGTTTCTGAGTCTCTGGGATCATGGTCATTAAGCAGTTCAATCAGGAACCAGAGAGGCCATGCCTCCAATATTATAGCTGAGCCGGAGGTGGTTTGTGGGTGTGTTTCCCACATACCTAACTTTTGGCCATTTACTTCCTTGGTAAACTTTGCACCAGGTTTTTGGGCTCTGGCCAAAGGCACAGCAGCAATGTTGGGGTATCTGGAAGTCTGAAGTCACCATCAGGCTGCTGATGCAGTCACCTCACAGGTACAGATTGACCTGCTGGCGGCACCATACAACCTTTAATTTTTTTAATTTAATTTTTTTTAATTTTTATTAGTGAAACACCATGAGGTACAGTTGTACATTGCAGCACTCTTTACAATAGCCAGAATCTGGAAAAAACCTGAGTGTCCAAGAACAGATGACTGGTTAAAGAAACTTTGGTACATCTACACAATGGAGTACTATATAGCTGTTAGAAAAGATGAAGTCATGAAATTTACATACAAGTGGTACTACATGGAAAGTATCATGCTAAGCGAAATGAGTCAGAAAGAGAGGGATAGACATAAAAAGAGAGTGGAGTTTTAAAGAGCGTCTTTGGTTTTGGGGTTCACAGCCATATTGGGTGGTGAGTGGAAGGGTGAACGTATACATAGTGATGAGATCTGCTGCTGGTGAGGACACCGCTGACAGCTTCTCAGGAAACATCATGACCTTTGGGGCTCGGCTTTCTCAGATATAAGTGTAAGTTCATCTTCTCTATAATGTTCTTTGATTCTTTCTCACAGGGTAGATCTGTTAGGCTGCCTACATGCTCCAAACTATTACCAGGGGCTTACGCTTCCTGCTAATTCTCAGTCCCATAGTCAGAGCTTCAGATTAAAATGTGGAGCACTTGTGTTCGTTTTGTGTCAAATCATTTGTGTATTATGTCTATCAAGCTATGGGCTGGAGCAATAGCACAGCAGGTAGGGCGTTTGCCTTGTACAAGGCAGCCTGTGATGTATTCGATATGCCAAGAACAGTAACAAGTCTCACAAAGGTGCCTGCTTGAGCAAATCAATGATCAACGGGATGACAGTGATACAGTGATACAGTGATCATAAGCATGAAGTAAGCACTACAGTGTTACTCAACCACAGAAATGTTATAAAAAAACTTTAATATAAGAATCAATGTAAATATAAACACAAGATTTTTTTAGTCAATGGTTAATTGGATTTATTTAAAGGCTAATGTCAATATTTTTCAGGTGCTCCCAAGGGATTACTGGTTCAAATAGAATATATAAGAATCAAGGACCATCAATTGTACTTAGACCATGCAAATTTAATTCCACCACAAAACTATATGAAAAAGCTTGTCAGTTCTTCCCTGATAAAAGCAAACTGCAAAAACATCAATAATGTTTATGCAAGGTATAGATTCTGTAAGTATACCAACTGTCACTTCAAGTTGCATATTTATAATCAAATTACATGTTATTGTAATTATAAAATGTCCATGTGGCCCGGTGACCAAAAGCTTCCACAAGCAAGGCCCAGGTATGCGGGTTCCAGAACTAAATCTCCAGGCTGCATGGCAGCAGAGGACCTGGGCTTTCCCTCCCCAGGTCCCCACCTGCCCAGAAGACTGGCTGTCATGCCACAACTAGCCTCCAGGCATCATCTTATCATACCAAAAGCCCTGGTTCAGAGGCACAGCAGCAAGTCCCAGATAACATCACAGTGCCAGAGACCTCCCTGGGCCCCATATTGAGCCAATATCACCAGGGCACCCCAGCTGGAGCAGGTATAGATTCCACCCACTCCAGATGGAATCCCAGTGACCAAGAGCTTTCACAAGCAAGGCCCAGGTATGTGGGCTCAGGACTAAATCTCTGGGCCACGTGGCAGCAGAGGATCCATGCTTGTCCCTCCCCAGGTCACCACCCACCCAGAAGACTGGCTGTCATGTCCATAATTTGCCTCCAGATTCCATCTTAGCACACCAATAGCCCTGGCCCAGAGACTCCCAATTAAATTCCAAAATGGTGCCATACAGAGATGTCTTTGGAACCCAACCACTTACAATCTAGAAATTTACATTCACAATTGCAGCCATGCAAGCTCTCATGATATTCGAAATGAGTTACGGAAAATATATTATCTAGCATCTGTCCCTGGCAGGTAGGCTTGAATTTTGGTGGGAAAACTTGAGTAAAATTAATGCCCAAAATTAGAGAGAAAGGGACTGGAGCAATAGCACAGCAGATAGGGCGTTTGCCTTGCACGCAGCCAACCTGGATTTGATTCCCTGCATCCCATGTGGTCCCACAAGCATCGCCAGGAATAATTCCTGAGTGCGGAGCCAGAAGTGGGCCCCCTGAGCATTGCCAGGTGTGATCCAAAAAGCAAAACATAAAATAAAATAAAATTAGAGAGTTTTGGGGAAATTGTCTACCATAGAGGCAGGATGAGGACTACGATGTGTATATGTCTGTGTGTGTCGGGGGTGGGGGTAATACTTGGGACATTAGTGGTGGAAAATGTGCACTGGTGTAGTGTTGGGTGTTCCATCATTGAGTGGCTGAATCTCATACATGAAAGCTTCATGATTCTGTCTCATGGTGATACAATAAAATAAAAAAGTAATGTGGAGTTCATGCCCAATTCAATCAGCATAATCAATGCTGAACAAATAGCAGTACTCCTCCATTATTAAAAAAAATATTTAATGTGGGTAACCTGAAAGACTGCATGGATTAATACAGAGTTCTTTCAACAATGATTAACACATAATAACCACTCAACTAATATTTTCGACTATTACTGAAAATTTGATTTGATATTGTAACTCTTTATATTTCATTAGAAAATGTATTTACAAAGGGCTTTAAAAGGTTTTTATGTTTTTGAGCAAATAAAATGATAAAGTAAATAATAACATTTTTATTAGTTGTAATAATGCATTTTATGCAATTTTTTTCATTTTGTTGAACTTTTAGGTCATTGAATTCTGTAATGAAAAGAACCATAACAAAGAAGCTCCAAACCTACAAAATAAAAAGTGTAATCGCAGAAGCACATGGGAAGTGATCAGCACTTCTGAGGATATTAAGAACACAATGCCTATGATGGCACCACCCCCTCTACCTGTGTTCTCATTGCTGAGGGTCGGTGAAAGAACTGTGTGCTTAGTTCTTGATAAGTCTGGAAGCATGGGGGTAAGTGTGTGGGCTCACTTTTGCTATGTAGAGACAGAAGTATCAAAGCCTAAATGGTCAGCATTTAACCTGCATCTGTTTTGACCAAACCTTCATACCAGCAATCAATTTCTGTAATCATGACCTCAAGAGAATCAGTGAATACTGTATGAAGAAAAAAGTTGGTGGTAGAGTTGAAAAGACATAACCCATGTGAATCTGTTCTTTCTAGAAAATGGAGTTGATTGAGAGAAACTTGAAACCCTTTGGTAATATTTTGTTGGCTCAGAACTACATATAGAAATATGGGAATATTTCCTAACCTTGCACCTTTTATCTACTGGAAATACTTGATAGACACAAGAAGAGAGTGGATTTGTAGTTTTATTCAAAGTCAAGAGTTAAGACCAACCAGAGAATTTTAATAGGGATTTATTTTATTGGAATTAGTTAACAAATGAATTCTTTGTTCTCAAAGAAATAGACAAAAAGCAATACCAGATATGGAGAGATAGCTCAATGGGCTGAGCACTTGCTTTGCATACAGAAAGTCTGGGTTTGATTACTGGAACCACAGGGACTGCCAAACAAGAGCCAGGAGTAACCTCTAAACACATTGGTTGTGTTCATAAGCAAAAACACTATAAGGAAGATATGGCTAGATCTAGCCATTTATTTCTTCTACCCACATTCAGTACAATGTAAACATTGCACTAGACTCTAGAAATAGAAACTCTTATTCCAGAAAAATTTAGTTAGAAAAAAATTTCTCTCTTGACTCCTATACATCTTTCAGAGTTTAGTGCGGGCATCCAATTCATCTAGAATGAGTTTGTTTTCCAAACTGGAGTAAGAAAAGTTCTTTTTCTGGTCTCCCAAAACTACCTATGCAAATCTCAATTACAATACGTTGTACTAAACTCATACATTTATGTCCTAAAAAGTGGACAGGGGACTCCTTTAGGACTCAGAAACAAACTTGAAAAATTATCTTATTCTTCTTTGTATCTCTTTTGTCTAGAACAGATCTTATGATATACAGGGACTCAAAAAATAATAGAAGTGAATGAACAACATCTTACCATGCCCAGAAGGAGTATACATTTAAGACACAGCATAGCACTCTGAGGATCAGAAATAATGTCTTTAACAAAAGAGAAATAGTTACTAGAAAAGGCTGAGAATGATACGGCTGAATGAAACCATCCATAATGGCATAGAGCTCCAAAAAGAACTAGACACTATCAGAAAAGTGTTCTGGGTAGTGCCACTGAGGAAAGATGAGGTTTCTCATTGGGAGAAGATAAGCATAAGCACCCCTCCCTAGGTAGAGTACAGGCACAGCCAAGTTGAACAACAAATTAGGTTGTTGTATATGATATAGAAGAAATTTCTTGTTGTGATTTGATTCTAGAGAGTTCAGAAAAAATTTGTGTGTGTGTGTTGCAAAGAGGTACCAAGGTTAGTTTACCTTAATAGACTGGAGGAAAAAATCCAATGAAAAGATTTAGAACAAGCGCAATTACCTAGGAAAAAAAGATGTGAGGCTTAATGAGATACTAATTTGCCACTGTGATTTTTACAGTGGCAAATTAGTTTTCCTTTCTATATTTTACTAGAACATTTTAATGTTAACTGCTGTTTCACATACTTGAACCTCAACTTTCATGTGATTCCTATTTTCATAATCCTACAAAGCATAGGACTAACCAAAAACAGGGAAAAGTCACTAGAAATTTTTGTTTTAAAAAATGCCTTTATTACTTTAATTAGTTTACATCCTTTTTACACTATGAACTGCACCTGTCCTTCATCCTGGCCCATAGGTCAGCAGCCATAAGCAAGGGAGTAAATCAGTGATTTTCATGATTTCTGAAAAATGCTTGTTTACAATACCAGAGAATTTCATTGGATATAGCATACATAAAAATAATAAATTTTATTGTGCACAGTGTTTTGTGAAGAACCAAACAGGGTGATGTGATAGGGAAAGGGGAGGCCCAGCACACTTCACTAAAGCGTACATCACTTCAATGAAGGTAACATTGAAGATTTGAAGGATGACAAGTCAGTGGTTCAGGTAGAGAGCTCATGTAATATTCTTTGAGAAAGAGTGTAAAAAGACTAGATTATTCGAAGAAATGATAGATACTGAAGGTCTGTGAACTTTTACAAATATATGAAATGTATTTTGCAGATAAAGGGTTAGATATCTCATCTCACACCACAGAGACTGGCACACATTCAAAAGAACAAAAGCAACCAGTGCTGGAGTAGATGTGGGGGAAAGGGACGCTCTTTCACTGTTGGTGGGAATGCCTACTAGTCCAACCTTTCTGGAAAACAATATGGACAGTCCTTCAAAAACTAGAAATTGAGCTTTCATATGGCCCCACAGTACCACTTCTGGGAATATATCCCGAGGATGCAAAAGAGCTCAGTAGAAATGACATCTGTACCTATATGTTTATTCAGCACTGTTCACAATAGCCAAAATCTGGGAACAACCCAAGTGCCCTAGAACAGATGACTGGTTAAAGAAACTTTGGTACATCTACACAATGGAACACTATGCAGCTGTCAGGAGAGATGAAGTCATGAACTATGCTTATAAATGGATAGACATGGAAAGTATCATGCTAAGTGAAATGAGTCAGAAAGAGAGGGCTAGACATAGAAGGACTGCACTCATTTGTGGAGTATAAAACAACGTAACATGAGGCTGACACCTAAGGACAGTAGATACACGGGACAGATAGATTGCTCCATAGCTGGGAGCCTGCCTCATGAGCAAAGGGGAGAAGGCAGCTGGAATAGAGAAGGGATCGCTAAGAAAAAGATGGCAGGAGGAATTGGTTGGTTGGAATGGGAGATGTGTGCATAAAGTAATAAAGGACCAAACATGATAACCTCTCAGGGTCTGTATTGCAAACCATATGCCCAAAAGCACAGAGAGATTATGAAGAACCTTGTCTGCCATGGAGGCAGAGGGAGGGTGGGAAAAGGGGGTTATACCAGGAATATTGGAGGTAGGGAATGTGCACTGGTTGAGAGATGGGTGTTTGATCATTGTGTGATTGTAAACCCAAAAATGAAAGCTTATAACTATATCATGGTGATTCAATAAAAATTTTAAAAAAGAACCTGCACTATTAGGAGTGCTGGATTTATAGGGGGAAAAATGGTTAGATATCTCAAAGCTTAAAAAATATAAGGTTTATCATTTAAGAACAACAGAAGTATGTGCAAGGGCTTTACGTATCAGATACATATATTTATGCTTTAAGAATATAACTCCCTACTATGTAGCGATTAGAAAAGATGAAGTCATGAAATTTACATACAAGTGGTATTACATGGAAAGTATCATGTTAAGCAAAATGAGTCAGAAAGAGAGGGATAGACATAGAAAGATTGCATTAATCTGGGGAACATAAAGTAACAAAATAGGAGACTAACACCCAAGAATGGCCGAGATTCTTACCATGAGGTTTGCTCCATGGCTTGGAGGCCAGCCGCACATGCTAGAGCAAAAGGCAGCTCAGATAGAGAAGGGAGCACCAAATAAAGGGTGTTGGGAGCATCCTCCCAGGATGGGAGAAGCATGCTGAAAGTAGACTATAGACCAAACATGATTGCCACTCAATGCCTCCTTTGTAAACCACAACACCTTAAAGGAGAGAGAGAACAGAGGGGGATGCCCTGCCACAGAGGCAGGGTGGGATGGGGGGATGGGGGTGGGAGGGATACTGGGATCCGTGGTAGTGGGAAATGGGCACTGGTGGAGGGATGGGCATTTGATCATTGTATAATTGAAACCATGCACAAAATTTGTAAGTCTACAACTGTACCTCATGGTGTCTCACTAATAAAAATTTTAAAAAAAAAAGAATACAACTCCCCAAATAAAATAAATTGTAGGAAATGGAGAAATTAAAGTGAACTAAGGAAGAAATTAGTTATCTTTTCTATTCATCTCTATATATAAGTCTCTCACAGAGTTCTCAATACAATTTTAAATTTTAATTCAGTTCTTTATATGAATGAAGAAACTGTACTGCCTACACAGCAGTCAAAACAGACTAACTCACTGATGTGATCTGAACATATCAGTAAAAGAAAAGAAAAGAAGAGACTGGAGAGATAGTACTGTGAGCAGGTGCTTATCTTGATGTGGTTGACCATGATTCAATCCCCAGCACTCATATGGTTCCTGGAGCACAGTCAGGAGTGATCCCTGAGTGTAGAATAAGGAGGAAGCTCTAAGTATCATTGAATGTGGCTCAAACTGTCACTGTCACTGTCCTCCCATTGTTCTCGATTTGCTCGAGCAGGCACAGTAACATCTCCATTGTGACAATTGTTACTGTATTTGGCATACTGAATACATCACAGGTAGCTTGCCAGGCTCTGCCGTGGGGGCGAGATACTCTTGGTAGCTTGCCGGGATCTCCGAGAGGGGCAGAGGAATCCAACTTGGGTTGGCCGTGTTGGTCACTTGCAAGGCAAACGCCCTACCCGTTGTGCTATTGCTCCAGCCAGCACAAACAAGAAAATTAAGAAGGAAGGAAGGAAGGAAGGAAGGAAGGAAGGAAGGAAGGAAGGAAGGATGGATGAGAGATATGGAGGTTGGGAGGGAAGAAGAAAGAAAGAAAGAAAGAAAGAAAGAAAGAAAGAAAGAAAGAAAGAAAGAAAGAAAGAGAGGTAAGGAGGTAGGTAGAGAGGGCGGGAGGGAAGGAGGGAGGGAGGAAGGAAGGGGGAGGGAGGGAGAAAGAAAAAAAGAAAGAAAGAAGGAAGGAAAGAAAGAAAGAGTAGAAAGAGAGAAAAAGGAGAGAAAGAAAGAAAGAAAGAAAGAAAGAAAGAAAGAAAGAAAGAAAGAAAGAAAGAAAGAAAGGGGAAAGAAACCTACTTCATCTACTTTGTATCTTAAATTGAGCTCATGTGCAGAAAATGATGGGGTAAGGGAGGATATGATATAAATGCTACAAATGTATAAAGGTAAGTTCTGTTTTTCAGTTTCATTTTAATATACATTAGCAACTATTTCACACGTTTTAAAGTTTACTAACATTCATTATTTACCTTCTCCACTTCGGCCTTCAAAGTTCTCCTTTGAATATTTGCTACTACCACCAAGATTGGCACCTGTGGCGGCTCCACTTGGGCCCACGCCATAGGCTTCAAGGCTCACTGCAGCGGCCCTCCTGCTCATTCCCATTCCGAAATATGACATGCCATTTTGTCAGTAAAGAAGCGAACAGCACCTGGCCCAGACAAGGTCAGAGAAGAACATCTGAAGAATCTGTCATAAGTGCTCATCAATACACTGGTTTGCTCTTCACACACTACCTGTCTGAATGCAAGTTTCCATCCCAATGGAAAACCAGCAGGACTGTACTACTGTATAAGAAGTGAAACATCCACAACATTGGCAACTATCGCCTGATCTGCCTATTGTCTGTCATATACAAGCTGTTCACTCGAGTCATCTTGAATAGGATTGGCAAAACATTAGATGAAGGACAACCATGCAAGCAAGCTGGATCCCGCAAAGGATTCATCACCATTGACCATATCCACACGATAACCAAGCTCATTGAGGTTTCTCAGGAGTTCAAGATGCCGCTCTGTCTAACGTTCATTGATTTAAAGAAGGCCTTTGATTCTGTTGAGACTGAAGTAGTCATCAAAGTCCTAGCTAACAAGGCACTCAAACTCAATACATCAGGATCTAACGTGAGCTGTATTACGGATTCACTACCAGGATCTCACCATTCTACAAAGAAGTGATCATCCATGTCAAAAGAGGAGTTCGGTAGGGTGATACCATTTCACAGAAACTCTTCAGTGCCAAACTCAAGAACATCATGTGATGACTGGAATGGGAAGGAATGGGAGTGAAGATAGATGGTCGGCAACTACACCACCTCCACTTCGCTGATGACATTGTTCTAATGACACCAAACATTAGCCAAGCGGCACAAACGCTGGCCGACTTCGACCATGAGTATGGAAAGGTCGGACTACAGTTGAGTCTCAGGAAGACAATGTTTATGAGAAATCGTCTCATTCCTTACATTCCATTCATGCTCAACAGAACGAACATCTCCGAATGCAACAGTTATGTGTACCTAGGTCTAGAAGTCAACATGACAAATGACCTGGCACCTGAATTGCACAAGGAAGAAGGGAGTTGGAACGCCTCCAAAAGCATCAAAGAAACAGCTAAGAGGAAAAAGAACCTCTGGCTCCGAGCACTTCTCTTTGATTCCACTGTTCTCCCTGCATTAACATACCCCTCAGAGAACTGGGCCCATGAAAACAGGATGAGAACGCTGTTTGGGTCTCCCAAAGAGGAACTGAAAGAGCTCTGCTTGGAGTAACCAGCTTAACTCAAATGAGAGAAAGAATCTGGAGTTTCAACCTCCGTCAACGGTCAAGAATGAGGGACACTGTCTCATTTGTCAAGGCATCGAAAATCAGATGGACTGGACACGTAATGCAATTTGGAGACGACTGCTGGACTAGAGTCATTACTGACTGGATTCCACTGGACGTCAAAAGATTGAGTGGCCACCCACCTACGACATGGTCATACTTCTTCGTTAAGACTCTGAACAATTGGTTTGATACTCTTCGTGTACCTAGAACAAGCAGATGGCATTGGGCTACACTAGCAAGCGACAGGGATGAATAGAAATGTTACTGGTGCCCGCTCAAGCAAATCGATGAGTAACGGGATGTCAAGTGATCAAGCAATCATTATTTACCTAAGACTTTAAATAAATTTGGTCAAATTGTTTTCTAAGAATTTTTTTTAGTAATTTTGATATTCTAAATCTTCTACATTGTAATTCTGCATATACTGCCACCTCAAGGCCATGAAAACCACTAATATTTGTAATATTTTTTCTCCTAAATATAACTAAATTGTTTGCATTGCTAAAGTAAAAAAAAAAACAATGGCTATTATAGTTGTCAGAGAAGATGAAATAAGATTACTATTCTGAGATAAGTTTTCTTTATACTTTCTTACAGACACCTAGATATCTTTTTCTTGTTAGCATATTTTTACTCGTCTCTGTGCATTTTTCCATAAATTCCCCAAAATCCAGTTGATCTAGGAACAGTAAGTAATTACCTTCTGGTTATGTTTCCAGGAAATTAAATCTGTATATCCCCAAATAAATGGATCTGAAATAGTACTGGTGACTGATGGAGAGAATAACACTCCAATAGACTGTGTTGATGAAATGGTACAAAGTGGGGCCATCCTTCATTTAATAGCTTTGGGACCGAATGCTGACAAAAATGCCATTGAAATGAGCAGTCGAACAGGTAATATATGATCTATATATTTTATTCCCTGGATAGTAGTGTGTAAGTGTAGAAGCAGAAAACTCAATCATTTTTTTAAAGCTCTCTCTGTAAGTACTGCCAGAGCTGAGGATCAGAGATAAAGAAAAACCATTCTCTGTTTTCAAGGTGCTCACAACAGCTGACTGGAGAGACAAATAAAACTACTTATCAGATCACAGATAGTATAATGAAATAACCTTCCCATCATACATAAGGTTATGTAGGAATTAAGTACTATGTAAACTGAGAAAGACCATTCTCCCACGCTCTATAGTTAGGAAAGAAGACATCAAAGATGAGGTGATTTCTGAGTAGAGTCATAAACAAGATGTTACCTTTTTCGGATGAAAATACCATAAAAGAAGATAAATCAAAGAATAAGAAAAAATATGGTGGGGATAACAATGAAGCATTATGAGAAATCATCAGATCAAGGCATGTGCTGCAGGGTAGGGGGATGAGATTAGTAGAAGAACTGGGTGAACAGACCTAAGTAGCTGTTTCTAATTTAATTTTATGAAAATTGTTAGCTTTGCGATGAAACATGTTTTCAGTTCCTCAAACGTAGTAGAAAATACTGACCATGAATGTCAATGAATGCATGAGGTTGATTTCTAATCTATCAAATATATACGTGATTTTAATACTTAATTGTACATACTCCAATCATTTCAAGGTGATTTGATGGTTACTTATTTATTTTTCCCCAAGCATTCTGCCTCATCACACCCCTTAGCAATTAGTAGAAATATAAGGAGGAAGTTAAGGGTAATTGGGAGACATACCCAGTAATGCTCAGGGGTTACTCCTGGTTCTACACTCAATGATCACTCCTGGCAGTGCTCAGGGACCATATGGGATGTCAGGAATTGAAGCCATATGGGATGTCAGTGATTGAAACCATGTGCAAGACAAGCTCCCTACCCACTGAACTGACTCTATAATTAATTGTTTGTCTGTCTGTTTGTTTTGAAAAAAAAGTTCTCCATTCTTACCATTTTTATCTCCTTATTACCAGCATACCTACCTTAACTTATCATCTCCTTAATCTTTCTAGTTTATGATATTGATCTGCACTGGCTAAAAAACCTAAAAACCAAAGGTCTCAGACTTGTATCTTAAATAAAAGTAAATAAGTCCCACAAAGGGCTGCATGGAATCTATAAGGTTTAATGCAATGAACTACAACAAATTATTTTGTATTTTATGATTATTTGGTATATTTAAACTAGTTCCAGTTTCTGTAAGTGAAAAACAAACATAATTTATACTTTCTAGCTAAAAAATTTTTAATGCCTCAGATCAATCTTTTCTCTTACTCATTGGGGTCTAATAACACATATTAAAACAAACTGTGGTGTGTGTACTCTGCTATGTTATTAACCACTGAAATATCACTCACAGTTACACATCTTCTAGGAATCACTCTAATTTGTATTTCTATTATAGGAGGAATGCAAATGGCCTTATTGAAGCTTTCTCAGCCCTTACATCTGGAAACACTCCTCTCTCTGAAAAGTCTCTTCAGGTCAGAGTTCTTATTCTTTGACATTTTGTTTGGTAATGGTATTAATCAAAAAAAATAATAATTTGTTTTCGGTTTTAAGCTATATATTTTTGACAAAGTAAATTTTCACTTTTCAATTTTCAACCTAAAATTATGTATGTATTCTGTATATATGTCCCCTAAAAGTACAGAATTAAGTGATGAAATAGGAGGTGTATAGTTTTTTTCTCCTTTCCCACTGGGTTTAGTAAAGTAATAAATAGTATGTTAAATTTCCCAACAATAAATGGACTTTTTCCAAAAATATAGCACTGTTTTCTTTCAATATGTAAAAAAATGCCATACTTCTAAAATTTCTCCATGCTTCACTACAATGAAATGTATTCAATTAAATGAATAAACACAAGGACAAGGTTTGAAAGTCGAAGAAATATATCACAGAAGCAAAAAAATATCATTATGTATAGATATATCACTTTATATAGATATATAGAGATATGTGCCTATGTTTCCCCTAATTTAGTGAGATTTTTCACTTGATTTTCACTTCATTCTCCTCTCTTTACTCAACTTTTGCACCTATGTTTTAGTAATTACTATGTTTTAGTAATGGCATTTAATAACAGCATTTTCAAACCCAGATTCTTCTTTATTCATTTCCCAAATAAAATGTCCACAGCCTGTTTCCTTAAAATATTTTTATAAATTTTCATATTTATAAATATGCATTTACACCTTCCATGTCATGTCACTTTATGCCAAGAATCCTGACTTCTAACTCTACCTACAAGTCACCACCTACATTAAAACAGATATGATCACCCAAACAAGCTTATTTTCCTCTACTTTCCAATCGAGAGGAACACTGAAGCCATAGGAAGCAGAGATAAGCTAAAGGTACAGATTGGTTTGGAGATGTCCTATATCCTACAAAACAGATTAAAATAGTTTCTGAGATCTAGCTTTGAATTTGGTGGAGAAGAAACTGAAAGAGAACAAAGTTCATTTCTGAGGGCTTCAACATGGTTGATTGTAAAATCTTAACACGCCGAAGGTTGTGTGTTCACGGGCTCACTGGATGGCTCTTTCTCACCGCCTGCATTCAGTGCTCTTGAGTCCTGTGTGTGGCCTGGATCAGGACGGCTGTTCTTTCTCTCAAACTTGAGTCCCTCTCATTCTGACTCTCCTCTGCCCGAGCTTACAGTCTTAGTTTATATAGCAGTCGCATAAGGCGGTGACATAAAGGTGGGTTGAATATTGATGAATCAACAAAGAGAGGTAAGACCACTCCTCCAGGAGATTAACTCAAGGATAAAATCTCATCTACAGAGATTACTCCAGATTACTAGGAGATCTGCTCAAGGGTGGGATCAACAAGGGTGTGTTCTTCCCTCAGTTAGTAATCTACTTAAATAGTTGTAATAAATCTACTTCTAATATTTCTAGCAATGTCATTCTGTATGAGCACAGTAAGAGATATAAACTTAGTTTGGTTCTTCCTGAGAACATCTCACTTCACTATACGTTCCGCAGTCCTCAGGCCAGGTTAATCTTCCTAGCTCCAGCAGGGTCCTAGACTCATCGTTACTTACTTTTGGATCATGACAGCATTTGTCCATGATCATGCCCTCAACTTATAGTTGAGTATCGTGGCTCTTTGGCCTGGCCCATTTCGATGCCAGGGTAGCTCACCGCTTGCCCTGGGTCCATTCAGTCCCTCGTCGGGACCCTGCTTTTGGGGTGCTAGGAACTAAGGGCAACTGAGTCAAGAAATCAGATGCCCAGGAGTAAATATGATTCGGAGTCAATCAACTCCCAAGTTACAAAGCATAATATTAACTGTCTTCCTGTGTCCACACAGAAAGGACATTGCTTACAATACAAGTTCAGTGTCCTTAGATGGGTGTGACCTGACAAACCTAAGCTACCTGAGGAAGGACAAAATGGTGTTATCCTACAGTTGACTAAGAAAATGATGATACCACTCACTAATAAAAACAATTTAGAGCTTAACAATTTATGGGGTTTCTTTAATGCTCTTTAATAAATGGTAGCTGATAGCTGTAATTGGTAGTCTACAGCTGGTAGTAAAAACATTCTCATTATATTTTAAATATTTTGGAATTACTGTTACAATGTCTTTCTTTTTTTTGAAGTGCTTTCATTTCAATTTTAAGCCACTTTATTTCTTCTACATAAAAGCTCTTTATTTTCATTCTGTTGCCTTTGCTCTTCCATTTCCTTTAAGACTATTTCTTTTCTAAAAGCACTGTTTAAAATTTTTTGTTTTTTTTTTTTAATTTATTTTTTATTAGCTAAACACCATGAGGTACAGTTGTAGATTTACAAATTTTTGTGCTTCGGTTTCAGTCATACCATGATCAAATACCCATCCCTCCACCAGTGCCCATTTTCTACCACCATGGATAATATCCCTCCCCCCTATCCACCCCTGCCACTGTGGCAGGGCACTCCCTTTTGTTCTCTCTCTCCTTTTGGGTGTTGTGGTCTGAAAAAGAGGCATTGAGTGGCAAACATGTTCAGTCCACAGTCTACTTTCAACATGCATCTCCCCTCCTGGGAGGATCCTCCAAACACCCTCCATTTGGTGCTCCCTTCTCTATCTGAAATGCCCTTTCCCCTAGAATACCCGGCTGGCCTCTAAGCTATGGAGTAATCCTCCTGGTGTTGATCTCAGCTATTCTTGGGTATTAATCTCATATTTTGTTATTTTATATCCCCCAGATGAATGCAATCTTTCTTTGTATATCCCTCTCTTTCTGACTCATTTCGCTTAGCATGATACTTTCCATGTTGTACCACTTGTATGTAAATTTCATGACTTCATCTTTTCTAACAGCTACATAGTACTCCATTGTGCAAATGTACCAAAGTTTCTTTAACCAGTCATCTGTTCTTGGGCACTCAGGTTTCTTCCAGTTTCTGGCTACTGTAAAGAGTCCTGCAATGAACAAACAAGTGCAGATGTCACTTCGACTATACATTTTTGCCTCTCTGGGATATATTCCCAGGAGTGGTATTGCTGAGTCGAGCATCCTCCACCCAGATCCTCCAAATTCCAGTAAGCGGGGATCAAACCCACCACCTGGCCCCCTGGCGCCGTGTAATCACATCAACGGCCAAGACTCAGAGACTATAAAATCCAGCTCCCGGAACCGCGCAGCCGCATTTGCGGCCGACCAACATCTTATCAGGACGTCTTTTTATGACATCTTATTATCTCATTCCTACTTTGGACAAACTTGCAGGCTATCAAATGTAGCCTGCCCACAGGGCAGAGTCTGGCAAACTCCCGATGGCGTACCAAATATGCCAAATACCAGTAACAATGATGGGTCTCATTCTCCTAAAGAGCCTTGAATATAATCTCAGGGCTAGGATGAAAGAGACGTTACTGGGGCCAGCTCGAGGCAATTGACGAATAACAGGATGATGAATGAATGAATGAATGGTATTTCTGGGTCAAATGGGAGCTCAATTTCTAATTTTTTGAGAAATGTCCATACTGTTTTCCAAAAGGGCTGAACTAGTCGGCATTCCCACCAGCAGTGAAGGAGTGTCCCTTTCTCGCCACATCTGCGCCAGCATCAGTTGCTTTTGTTCTTTTGGATGTGGGCCAGTCTTTGAGGTGTGAGATGGTATCTCATTGTGGTTTTGATCTGCATCTCCCTGATGATTAATGATGTAGAGCATTTTCTCATGTGCTTTTTTGCCATTTGGATTTCTTCTTTGAGAAAGTTTCTGTTCATTTCATTGCCCCATTTTTGGATGGGGTTGGATGTTTTCTTCCTGTGGAGTTCAACCAGTACTTTATATATCCTTGATATCAACCCCTTGTGTATTCGGCGAATATTCTTTCCCATTCTGTAGACTGTCTTTGTATTTTGGTCACTGTTTCTTTGGAGGTGCAGAAGCTTCTTGGTTTAAGATAATCCCATTTATCTATCTCTGTTTTCACTTGCTCAGTCAGTGGTGTGGCATCTTTGAATATACCATTAGCTTCAGTGTCATGGAGGGTTTTGCCAACTTTATCTTTAATGTACCTTATGGTTTCTGGTTTGATGTTGAGGTCTTTAATCCATTTTGATCTTACTTTTGTACATGGTGTTAGGCAGAGTTCTGAGCCCATTTTTTTGCATGTAGCCGTCCAGTGATGCCAGCACAATTTGTTAATGAGGCTTTCCTTACTCCACTTCACATTACTTGCACCTTTATCAAAGATTAGATGATCATATGACTGAGGGGAGATGTCAGTGTATTCAACTCTGTTCCATTGGTCTGCAGTTCTGCCTTTGTTCCAGTACCATGCTGTTTTAATTATTACTGCTTTGTAGTACAGTTTGAAGTTAGGGAGGTTGATTCCTCCCATTTTCTTTTTCCCAAGAATTGCTTTAGCTATTCGTGGGGGCTTATTGTTCCATATAAATTTCAGGAGTGTTTGCTCCATTTCTTTGAAGAATGTCATGGGTATCCTTATAGTGATTGCATTGAATTTATACAATGCTTTCGGTAGTATTGCCATTTTGACAATGTTAAGTCTCCCGACCCATGAGCAGGGGATATCTTTCCATTTCCTCATGTCCTCTTTTATTTCCTGAAGTAGCGTTTTGTAGTTTTCTTTGTACGGGTCCTTTACTTCCTTAGTTAAGCTGATTCCTAGGTACTTGATTTTCTGGGGAACAATTGTGAAAGGGATTGATTTTTTTCATGTAGCTTTCCTCTCTCTCACTGTTTTTGTATAGGAAAGCCTTGGACTTTTGGGTATTGATTTTATAGCCTGCAACTTTACTATACGAGTCTATTGTTTCGAGGAGTTTTTTGGTGGAGGTTATTGGGTTCTCTAAGTATAGTATTATATCATCTGTGAATAGTGAGAGCTTGATTTCTTCCTTTCCTACTTGAATGCCCTTAATATCTTTTTCTTGCCTAATCGCTATTGCAAGTACTTTCAGTATTATATTGAACAGCAGTGGAGAGAGTGGGTATCCTTGTCTCGTCCT